CTTTCTTTCTTTCTTTCTTTCTTTCTTTCTTTCTTTCTTTCTTTCTTTCTTTCTTTTGAAGTACTGGAGATTGAACTTAGAGCCTTCACACTGTATGCCAGCATTTTTTATTTTGAGACAAAGTCTCACTAAGTAGGTGACTAAGTTGCCACCCCTGGGCTCGAACTTGTGGTCCTCCTTTCTCGGACTCTCAGAATACCCATTGTGACTCTCTGGCTAGGTCTCTCTCCCTCTAAATTCCCCCTCTGCCCTTCCATGGAGGGTCTTCTGCTTTGACTTTTCTGGAGCAGGTACCCCTTCCTTGCTCCTTCTTCTTGGGGTAAAAGAGGATTCCTCTCTTGGCACTGTGGACAGCTTCAGAATGGAGCAACCTTTCCAGCTAAAAGAAATGAAATAAACAGAAGTACAAAAGTTTGTTTTTGTTTCTTTTGCTCCTTGGCTTTCCCTGGGTTGTGATTTTTAAACTTTTAATATGTGCATACGGGTGAAACATTATCCCTACTTAAATTATTTGTTTCCCTCTATGGCTGTTTTGCTAGAAAATGAACTATTCATGTAGTTTTTAGAGTCACCATGGGTTTAAATTTAAGCCTTAGGCCAGGTCTATACCAGCAAGGACCAAAGATAATTACGATTATGGTTTCAAGTTCTCTTTTCCTGTGATTATCAGGATATTTCACCCAAAAGCAATAGCAATTTTATTCGTTTTCTTTAATTTTCTTTCTTTTCTTTTTTTTTTTTTAGTCTGTGTTCTCTGGTCTGTGGGTTCTCCCTGGCCATGGACTCAGTGGATGTTGGGGTTCCTTGCTCCAGGGATTCAGCATCTCCAGGCAGCTGAGTCCATTCTGCTATTCTGTATAGGAGCTGGATAGTGGGGTACTCCTAACCTGTCTGGGCCAGGGTAAAAAGAATGGGGGATGGCCTGAAGACTGTTGAAAGGGGCAAGAAAGTACTGAAGGACCTCATGAAAGGGCCAGGCCAGACCCCTTTCCCTCTCCTCAACACTTAGAAGTTCTGCTGTGGCACCCCCTGGAGGGTTGGAGGCAGCTCCTTGGTGCAGGGCATCATTCTGCTGTTTCCATGGAAACAGATGTGGGCCAGGGGAGCAGAAAAGGGGAAGAATATGGCTGCTGCTGTGGGGATCTGCAGTGGGTTCACAGAGCCATCTGCAAATGTTTGAAAAACTCCCACTAAGGACCTCTAGAGATAAAACTGAGTGAACTTGCAGAGGGCAAGAGGAATGTGCTGAATTCCAGAGTCAAGGCAGTGGAGCTCCAGTCATTGGAGTTTGGGATTTAAAGTCAACGTGATACTCTTTCAGCCTCCTGGGTGCTGGTGACATGTGCATGTGCCAGGTTCATCGCCTTGCTCAAGTCCAGGACGGTAGTTGGAACAGCCATTCTTGTTTCCCTCCCCTCCCCTCCCCTCCCCTCCCCTTCCCTTCCCCTCTCTTCCCTTCCCATCCCTTCTTTCCCATTTCTCCCTCCCTCCTTTCTTTTTTTCTTTTTTCTTCTTTCTTTCTTTCTTTCTTTCTTTCTTTCTTTCTTTCTTTCTTTCTTTCTTTCTTTCTTTCTTTCTTTCTTTCTTTCTTTCTTTCTTTCTTTCTTTCTTTCTTTCTTCTTCCTTCCTTCCTTCCTTCCTTCCTTCCTTCCTTCCTTCCTTCCTTCCTTCCTTTCTTTCTTTCTCTCTTATTGACTGAACCCAGGGTATGCACACTGAACTATATCCCCAGTTTTTTTTTTTTTTTTTTTTACACAGAGCCTTACTAAATTGCTAAGTTGCCAAGGTTGGCCTTGAACTTTCTATCCTTTTGCCTCAGCCCTGCAGAATGTTGGGATTATAAACATGTCCCACCACGCCCAGTGTCTTTCTTTTCTTTCTGTTCTGCCTCTGCAGGCTTTGGTCCCCTCATCCCAAGAGTGACACCTTAACATAATTTTACTTCTCCTGAAGAGATGGCAGGAGCTTTGCTTTTGGCTGACTCAGGTGGATCCCATGGCCCAGCAAGAGACAGATGCTTCATCTGGCTAAGAAAACATAGAATACAGAGCTAGTCTCTCTCACAGTGATATTCTGATGAACTGGCAAAAGATGGAAATTTTTATATTGCTTAGTCTGTGCCAAGCACTTTACATGCTCTATCTCGCTCTTTTAACAACTCTGTGAGATAGGTCCATTTTTAAGGATCCATTGGACAGATGAGGAAACTGAGGCACAGGAGATGAATTATCTTGCCTAACCTCACACAGCTAGAGGAACAGGGGTGGAACTCAAGCAGTCTACTTCCAGAGCCTGTGCTCTTGGCTTTGTTGTGTCCTGACAGAGGTCTCTCTTATCCCCATGGATTTCCATGTGGACCCAGGACTGCTGGACCAGAATCTCTGCGGTCTTGAGCAAGTCACCTCCTCTCTGTGGGTCCCAATTTCATTGCTGTCAAACAGAGGCTTGGGTTACGCTAAGCTCTGGGATCTCCCAGGTACCAGTTTGGGATGTGCTCCTAAAATGAAATTTAGAACACTACGGGCCATTTATGCAGTACTTCCAGGCTGAAACACGCACTCAGGTGTCCCTGGTTGTCTGCGCTTCTCGGAACTTCCCCAGATGTCACCTTTCTTCATTGACCCTAGAATGTCAGCGAGCCAAGCAACACAGACACACTGAGGGTCAGGCTGCTCACTGTGGTTGATACGGGCAAGCCTTGCCCCTCCTCTGCTGTCCTGCAGTCTTTCTTTCCTCCAGCCCATGCCAGCCTCACCTCGGGTGAGGGGGTGAGGTGGGGCTGTCCGAAGGATACTAGAAGGGGTCCTTATCCAAAGTACTTGGAGAACCCTCTGAAGACAATAACCCTTCAGTGTGAACCTTTGCGTTCACTTCCTCCTGGCTGGTTTTATTACTGGCTACTTTTCTTAGAGCTGTTCTCCCCTCTCTTCTCTCTTGGACCCATCAGCTTGGCTGGCTCCCTGAGGGAGCTGAATTCCAAGACATCTTGAAAGCCCCTTGCAAGGTAGGGGTGCACTTTTATCTCTGGGGTGGAATGGAGATTTAGCTCTTCAGGGGTCTCTGTGCTGGTTTTTACTCTACTGATTTTTCAGCCTTTTCTGTCTTTTCCTAGGTCCCAGGAGGTGCATCCAGCTGGCGGCCCTTGATGACCAGCTCTAGCTGGATTTGGCCATTGGGAACCCCCCAAAGGAAACCAGAGGACGAGGAGGGCGTGCCATCTCAGGCTTCCTGCCTGCTTCAGGGCCGCGTACCTGATGGCCCCTGGGTCCTCTGCGGCAGCAGTCTTGTCAGGGCGTCCTTTCTCTGAGGATCCTGTGTTTGCTGGGCTCTGGGAACACTACTTCCTCCCTGACTCTCATTTCTTTCCCCAGACAAGCCCACACCTGAAGAATGCACTGTCTCTGCAGTTCCTCCAGGTGATTTCCTTTTCCTGCCAGCTCCTGCTGTACTTGCTAGTCTCTCTTGCCTAATAGGGTGCCTACTAATAGCCCTGGCTGCATGGTAAGAAAAGGGTGTTCCTAGCTCATAGCAGACACCAAGCCCTCAGCCTCTGAACAGTTTGATGCCTGAGAACCTGGCCTCACCGCTCAAGTCTTCCAATTCTTAATTTGATACTATTTCCACGGTCCTTATTGTTAAACACTCTTCATTGAATGGCTGACTTGGTTTTCCTGAAAAGAAATCTTTCTTAAATATTTTGCTTGCCAACCAGAAGTAAACCTGGCATATACTTCATGGATTTTTCCAATTGTCTCCAGCACCATTGGCAGTAACCCTCATCCAGTCTTCCATGAGAACCTATACATTTTCAAGTATATTAATGATATTGAGATACACAGGAAGGTGGTGCATGCCCTGTTGACCAACATGAGAATATAAAGTAAGTGATTAGCGAAAGACAAGTGGAATATGTATTTACATGTTATGATCTATGAGGGAGTAAAGTGAGTGGGACAAATGTATTTTTAATTTAAGTATATTTATTACTTGTGAAAGTGAAGACTAATTATGCTGTCTCCACCATGGCATTGTGAGAGAGGTCCTTAAGCAGGCTCATCCCTTTTGCAGGGCTGCAAGCAGTGCAGGCTGTGACTTGGCGGCTGGGTGCTGAGTTTTCCCGAAGGAGACTTGAAGGACAAAGGGGAGACAGATTTAGTTTCCCTTGTCACCTTCTCTGCAAATTGCCCATCCAGGTTGGTACATAATTGTGACTTCCTCCTGCAACTTTTCAGTCTTGTGTCTGAGGCCGTAATTCACCTCCTTCTCTGTGGACCTCGGAGGGGGCAACCCTCCCCAAGATGCACGCTAGGTGTGGCGAATCTGTCCTCTGAGGTTTTAAATCACTGGGACCATGCCGAGGCCGCTGGAGTCCTGGGCTGTTATGGGCGGCATGCTCTTGGAGTTGCCGTGAATTCTAATTACAGGCTGTAACTGGCATCCAAAGGCAGTTAAGAACTTTAGAGAGGGAGAGCAGTTATTCTTGGTGGCGGGCACAGGTGCCTGACTGATGAGCAGGTGCCACCCTGGCAGAACTCAGCGAGCAGGTGGTAGGGCAGGAGACTGGGTCCCTGGTGGAAACCACCCTCCAGTCACTACAGGCTTCTCCGGCTCAGTCCTCCAGAAGATGCTCTTCTTTTTCCCTTACTATCTTTAAGGACTTTGAGGATTTCCGTGCTCTGGTGAGTGGCTCCCTATCCTGGCTGCTCAGCAGACTATCCTGGAACTTTCAAAAACCCCAAGCCTATGTGCTACCCTAGATGAAATCAGAATTTCTAGGATGAGACCAGGGTGATTCCACTACACATTCATGGCTAGGGTCATCACTGTAGGTCATTCATTGTACATGAATGGTCTTGCCTTTCTGTCCTCAAGAATGGGCCTTCCCTGGGTATGGTGGCAGAAGGAGGGTACTTCTCAGAGGCCATCTCTGCAAGATGGCATTTGTTAGTAGTTGTCTGATTACAACTGGAAGTTTGATTCTCAACCTCAGAAATCTAGAGACTGTTTTTTTTTCTGAGCTTTGGAGAGTGGATCTGTCTTTTACATATGAACTCACATTAGTTAAGGTTGTGCGATTGATGTATAAACCCAGAGACCCAATGTGTTACTGAATGGCTAGAAAGAAAATGGTGTAAGAACTGAACTTCTTGCATCAGTACGAGCTGGTCTTCCTCAGCCAAGTCCTTTTCCTGCATTATCTACTCTACTCCCAGGCAGGGGATTCTGCCATTAGGTGAAATGGGCCAGCCTATTCTTACCCAATGAGAAATTCACTCAGGCAAGACCCAGGCAAAATGGTTGATGTTTTTTGCTTCTGACTTCCTATCATCCTGATAAACTAAAATATTTAGGAGGGGACTGATCATCTGATCTTCTCCACCTTTCTGGATCTTGGGAGGCATCACACCTTATGCATACTGCTGGGAACAAGAGTCAGGGAGAGCAGAAGGGGACCTGCAGTGTAGGAGGTGGGCTTGTCACTGGTGTTTCTGGGTATTTTCCTAGCCATTGCCTTTTGTCAGTGTGGGAACCCCAACTTGAACTTGCAGCTGAAAGCAGTAAAGAAGCCACAGGGTAGAGGGATCTATGGGAAGTCACAGCAAGTAGAGTCACAGACAAGCAGGACCTAGGAAGAAATAGAAGCTGGTAGGCAAAGAACCCCTGTGAACACTCACAGTGGGGGTCTCGGGAGGTCAGGGGTTATGCAGAGTGGCAGGTGTGGCACAGAACACATGGACTATGATGTGTGGGATCCCCTGTTCCTCTCCCCCTTTTCTCAAGCTCTATTTGCTAATGTAGCAGTGGTACTAGATCTTGGATGTCATTCTGGGGAGTTTGTTCAATGACAAATGCAATATAATCACAGCAGGATGAATGGGTGCATTGGGGATTTCAACCAAAGCTTCCCTTGCTATACAGGGACTCCTTCCTGAGGAATGTGCACTCCATTCTCAGGGATTTGGGGTGGGGGCTGTCAAAGTTTTAGAACTCCCTGTCTGGATTTGGTCATGTGTGACTTTTAAGTGCTGAAGGAAGTGACTGTGGCCAGGCACGTCCCTTTCTGTGAGATGCCCTCAGCCAGTAATTGGCTATCGAGCCATGCTGGCTAAACAAGAAATTCAACTAAGGCTGCTCATGTCCAATGAATGACCAAGACTAATGACTCTAGCCATGAGTGTGTAGTGGAATCACCCAGGTCTCACCCAAGAAATTCTGCTATGATCTGGGGTAGCACATAGGCTTGGGGTTTTTGAAAGTTCCAGGATAGTCTGCTGCACAACCAGGACAGGGAGCCACTCACTACAGGATGGAAATCCTCAATGTGAATAAAGACCCTGGGGAGAGAAGAAGAGCATCTTCTGAAGAACTGAGCTGAATTCTTCAAGAATTTCTTGTTTGCATTGTCTACACCAATGGCATTCAATAATAGATATGACTAATAGAACAAACGAACACTGCATTTTAAAAATACTGTCCTTTCTCTCGGGGCCTCAGCTCTTGGGCTGATTTGCAAATGCATGGTTGTAAGTGGTGCAGGATCTGAAGCAGGCAGCTCCTGTTGTTGTGCTCTCTGGTGGACAGCTGGCCAACTTGTTAATGAACCAATCCCAGGCTCTCCAGCAGACACTGTCTGGGATCTTTCACATGCAGTTTGCATTTTAGTTAAAATCAACAACATTAAAGGAAGAATTTAAATGGACTATGCTGTGTGTCTTCAGAATCAGGTACCACAGTGGATGTGGATTCTGGGCTCTGCAAAGAGATTAAAACTTTGGTTACCATGCACGGGGCAACCTGCCCCAGCTCTGTAGCCAGACCTCCTGATCCTACCACTCACTATCTGAGTAAACTCAGGCAAATTACTTACCCTCTGTATGCCTCCGTTTCCTCATCTGTGACTTGGGCTAGTGAGAGAACCTACCTACTGCTGCTTGTAAGGTTAGTGAGGGTTAAGATTTTTGGGATGCTTAGGAGCAGTTGCTGCCAAATATCAAAACTCTGTGAGGGGACTGAAAATGTCATGGACAATACAGAAGAGACACATGGAGTCCAGGAGGCCATGGTGACTCTGTATAGGGGGATGGGACTTTGCTCCCTTCCTCCCATCTTCATCTTTGAATAGACAAACCTCCAGCAAACAGATGCTTTGGAGAGCTAAGTCAGGCCTTGGCTTGGGACCAAGGAGATGCCTCAAAGACTTGCTTTCTGTGTTGTCATGGGCTTCTGTGAAGTGACATTTCAGGAAGCTGACCTGATAAATACATTCTTTAAAATCTGTTGTAGTTCCAAGGTGAGGACACTCTGATCCCTTACAGGGGACCCCACTAGAGATATTTCCAGTAGGCCTTGGCTGCAGAGAAAGCACACCTGTTGACTTTTCAATGACATGGAAAAGTCTTTCATAATGGATTTTGTTTCCCTCTTTGCTTTGGCCCCATGGGGAGATCAGAGCCAAGTTTTTGGTCTTGCTCTAGATACTGTAGATGTATGTGCCCACATAGTCCCCTGGTTACTGGGTCCAGGAGGAACATTCATGGATTGATACTTGCATGAATCAAGTTTCTTTGTCTCTTTACTTGATCCTTTTGTTTCTGCACAGCCTTTTGGGAAGGGGGTAAGGTAAGAAGGACGGAGAGAAGGAATAGCAAAAGGAAAACGGGAGAAAAGAAAAGAGGAAAAGAAGGAAGGAGAGGGGAGGAAGGGAAATATAGGGGTTAGGATGGAGTGTTAACCTGGAAGGAGGCCTGGTGGAACACACTTCTGGGTGTGTCTGAGTGGGTTATGGTGTGACCTTGAGGTCTATGTCTAATCTTTGCCGATTCCTCTGGCACTGTTCCCCTGTTCTGCTTTCTGGCTATTGTGAACTAAGCAAATTTATTCCACCACACCCTTTCATTATGGTATTTCTGCCTTGGAGCCAGCTAACCATGGACTGAATCCTCTTAAAATGTGAGCCGAATGAAATTCTTGTTATAAATTGTGGGTGTCAGGTAAGGTTCCTAGTAAAGGGAATGCTGACTTATAGTGAAAGAAGGAAGGGAGGGAAGAAGGAAAAAAGGAAGGAAAGAAGGAGGGGAGGGAGAGAAGGATGGAGGGAGATAGGGAGGAAGGAAAGAGAGAGGGAGGCAGACATAGCCTAGTATCCAGTCATGAGTAGAACATCCCTACCTAAGTATGGAAGCCAGGCAGGGAATCTTGTCATCAGGAAAACAGTCTGGAGTGATGTGAAGACCCTAGGAGCTGATTCCTTGCTGGTCATGCAGCTGGAAGACCTTGACAATGAATACCCCTGGGGGCTCTGGGAGGTGGCTCTTAGATCTGGAGAATCTAGCTGTTTATCATGGATTCTTCTATGTTTAAAGATACATCCTTCAGTCAAAACCAAATAACATAATCCCAAAAGCAAGCCAACTGCTTCATCTAGTATTCAACTAAAGAAAGCCTGGCCAGCCAAATATGGGGGAAAAACCAAATATGTGTACTCACCGAAGAAGGTTTGTGGGTCTCTAATGTGATGCTGTCCTAAGGACTTTTGAAAGTTCAACATGCTAGTGTCTGTTGACTTTGGATCCTAACTTTATACATGTTCTGACTCCATCAACTCCATCATCTATGTAGGCAGTGGGAAGTCAGTAGCAGGAGAGAAGTGAGAACGGAGGCTGACACAGTCCACAGGGCTTTATTTTCTACCCAAAGAGCAGCCCCTATAGCATCCTTGGGAGGAAAACACCAATTGGCAAAGTTGGCTCTGATTCTCATGAGGTTCCCAGTGAAAGAGGGTGTGTCATGCTCTGCTGTGAGCCAGCTTGGTCACTAGAGCACTGCACCAGTCAATTGTCACCACCGGAAGCAGAAGCTGAGGCTGGTGTGGGTTGTGTTGGGTGGGAGATGCGGATCTGCTCCAGGTGCATCTTACAGAAGACAAGTGGTGAACTTTGGAGTCAGTTCTATTCTTTTTTGGTGGGGGGGCATTATTTCAGTAACTGCTCTTTGATGATCTTCTGATCCACATGATTTGGTGTAGCAAGGCTGATAGTTGGCTGGCCATTACTGGAAGCCTGCTCTTTCTTCCCCATGCAAGTGGAATTGCCCCTACAGGTCCTGAGACTCAGCTCTGCAGCTGACGCACGGTGTGTGTGTGTGTGTGTGTGTGTGTGGGGGGGTGGCTTGGAAGCATCTAGATGAAGTTTGA